AATGGATATAGAATTAAGCTATACCTCCTGGAGGGAGGCAATATCTATATATATTATTTAGAATTTTTCTGTAAGGAACATTTGTCCTCTCCTAGGTATTTATTTATTCAATTATTTATTTATAGGTGTATGTGTGTATATATTTATTTTATATTTTAGGTTATAATATGCTACTACCTTACTTTCCTTGTTGCTCAAACTATTCATCTTTGGCCATTGGGAGTTCTTAGAGTTTGGCTCCTGTGTCCTTTAGAGAGCTATATTTTATAATTTAAATTTCTCATTAATTGACTGACTTTTCAGACAGGTTTAATGGAGAGTGTATGTGTTTATATGTGAGGGGTAAAGTAATGTAGGGTTAAAATACCCATTGGATACAACCAAGTTAAATGAAATCATGAATTCTGATAATGTAGAGATCAGAAGTGAGGAATTATAAAAAAGAAAATAGGGATTTTTAAAGATAAATAGAATTGACTTTGTGATAAGTAAAATTAATGATCATCTATGAGTTATATTTTAGTACTCAGATTATTTTTATCAGACACATAGAAGAATAATTTCTTTTCCTGTTCTGCAATATTGTATCAATGGAAAAATGTAGTATGTAGTCTTTTGTATTTGGATGTTTTCACTTTTAAGCTTTATCCATATCATTGTAGATTAGTATTTTGTTCTTTATTTGTTGCTGAGTGTGGGCAATATGGATAGCCCATACTTTGTGCATGTTTGAGTTGCTTCTGATTTTTGGCTATTACGAAAAGCACTGCTATGGATATTTGCATATAAGTCTTTGAATGAATATATGTTGCCATTTCTGCTTGGTAAAAATCTCAGAGTGGAACTACGGGGTCATATGGCAAAACTATGTTTAACATTTTGAGAAACTACCACATTGTTTGTCAAAATAGCTGTACCATTGTGCATTCTTACCAGGAACATATGAGTTAAAGTTGTTCCACATTCCTGCTGACCCTTGATAATGTCAGTCTCTTTAACTTTAGCCATTCTGGCATTGTGTGTTCAGTGGTTTTCATTGTTGCTTGAATTTGCGTTTTTCTATTGCTTCTTGTTCACTCGTGTGTCTTCTTTATAAAGAGTTATTTGAAATATCTTACCATTTTTTTAACATGTT